TTCCACTGTTACGTTTTCTGCCATTTTTTTCTATTTTTAAATGTAGAGAAGGGAGTTTCCGTAAGTTCTAGATTTCTATTGAATTTTGGTTGGTTTCGTTTTGATTGTGGTCTATTGTTGTAAGTAGATAACTTATCACAATATCACACAACGATTAAGTGCAATACTATTACAAAAGGAGGTTCAAAAACAAAAGAACTGTAGTTATCTTTTAATGGAAAATTTGCAGATAATAGATGACATATCTACCCATCAACTTATCGATTTGTATTTTCTAATGATGATTGTATTCACTTGCGTGCATTGCCGATCATTCTATAATATTGTGTATGTTAATCTAACAAATTCCTTTGTGTTCTTTACTACTGAGTTATGGTTATTTAACGTACTTACACTATTTACACATGATATCAAGTTATTACCGAATAATACATATTCACAGCCTAATGAGCATACCAAGTGTTGATACGTTTATAGTATTTTTTTTTACCAGTAGGATATCTAATGCACACGTAGTTAATGTAATATTTTGCTTGCAACGAATTCGCGCCAGTTCTACTCGTATCATTGTGATCACAATGAATAAGTATAAAGCAAATGATAATAGACTGTCTACCTCATATTACAATGAATGAGTTGAAATTGTTATCATGCAATATGTAATAAGAATATCCTCGAGGAAGAGTTATTCAAAGGCGCATATGGTGTTTCCACAGATCGCGAACTTGCAGGAAGGGTTGAATTTACTGTAGCTGTTAGCAATTTAACATTCCGCGAAAAATGGTGGATAAACAAGCCATATTATGTTTCTCGCTTCTTGCTGAAATTTTCCATGTGGTCCTAAGAAGCCAAGAATATATCGCCTATTTCAATGTGGTTCTATCAAGATAACGAACAAGCTGTAAATGAAGAAAGTTGTTCCCTGATATGTTTTGAGCAATGCTCAAATGTTAAAAAGAACTCTTTTTGAAATAATAATAATTTGGTAAAGTTTAAAATAAAACAATAAAGCTCATGGATTTATTTTTTGCATGCTTTGAATTATTGATTCCTCTGTTGTGTGAACAATGAGTTAGGAAAAATAGGAGGAATAATTAAGTATTCTTAAAGAAAGATTATTAGAAAAAGCCAATAATGAGTTTTAGAAAAATCAAACTATTTAAAATCATCAAATTCTTCTAATTGTCTGGCAAGTATATCATCATGTTGAGGATAATTTGGGATTGGTATGATAAATATTTCTGGATATGACATTATATCTTTGTTTCTATTGATAATATCTCTCATTTCAGAAATCATTTCCCCATGAAACATAGATACTCTTTTGTATCTTTTGTTTAACATCTCCATAGCACGTAAATCCTTCTCAAGCAAGTTAAAATAATCAAAGGTTAAAACCTGTCCTGAAGATGTTTTAACAGTAGATTTTCGTGGTTTTTTACCTTGTTCAATCTCTTTACAAACATTTAAGTGAAATTGGCTTATATCAGCAATAGGTGAAATGATTACCAATAATGGATATCTTGAAATATAGCTGAGTTAAGTAATTCAAGTGGAAACTTACAAGAATAATTCATTCTCAGTCAGTAGTGTGATTTTCAATGCAATTTCTTCCATTGCAGAGAATGATACCTCTTGTATTTGTTTCAAGAATAAAAATATATATCCCTCTGTTATAATAGTGGTGTATAAACTCTGAGATTGAAAAAATATTTCATTATGACGACAATCAACAAGAGATTCAGTCACTGTTTTCTTAAATTTCTCCATTGCTTGAAAAATAATATCAAGTACCTGTTTGAAAAGAATAAAATTTTGTGGAGTAATTGGGGAAGTTTTCATGTGATCCCAAACACCTGGTAAAAGAAAATCTTCCAATTTCATTGAGGTTGAGTGAAAAAATATCTTACTCAGACTTTCAAAAGTATTTTCCAAGCTCTGAACATTATTTTTGAATCTGCTTGCAATTTGATCACGATACCTTTCGAGTGGTTTGAAAAATTTGTGTTCCCTACCATCCTTATTATTCTCAATGTAAAAATTAATAATTACTAAATAATATTTCAATTTGTAGAGATTACCTTCACCTATATATACAATTAAAAGTATGATTGCACTGGCAGCCCAATAAAATTCTGTTGAATAGTCTATTGACAATAGTGCAAATTCTTTTTCTGCTTTTTTCAAAATTGTTTCATCCAAACCTTCCGTTACTTGCTTAGCATAGACTGATATGGCCAAGTAGAAACAATAAACACTTTTCATTTCCTCCTTAGATTTTATCCATTCATTTTCTTTAAATTCAATTTTTTCCTCATCCATTTGAAATAAATAATTATTAGTGAAATATTTTAGCTTTTCCTTCTCAATCAGAGGATTAACACCACATAAAAATGTAAAATAAATTTCAATTATTTGATTTGGTGGTGGAATAGTTTGAGGAATTGATGATTCCAAATGAGTTGTTGTATTACTAGAAGTATCAGACTTGTTCATTACTTTTTTTAAATAGGTTTCCGAGGCCTTTCCTCTTTTTAAAGGAGTACTATACTACAATCCCCCACAATACAATTATCAGTTATCAGTTGATTATATAATTTTGTATTCTTTGATCAAAACATACATTACATTCCACTCCATCGGAAATACATTTCGAACAAGAAGGCAATTTCTTGTTACACTTTTTATGTAGACGTCGACAACGAACACATGAGATGGCATGGCACTGATCATCATCGTCCTCTTTATTCAATGCACTTGATGATTTATCTTTCTTTGATGAAGAAGCATCAGAACAATTTTGTTTTTTCATTTTTTTTAGGTGTTGGCTTGTTAACACCAATGAAGGAAGGTTATTTTCAATTATATTAAATGACATCTTGTTGTTTATTTTTAACTTCAAGGAAATCCAAATCAGATTTCAAATCTTCCTCCTCATCATATTCATCATCAGCATCAGCATTATTTGTTGTAGTTGTTAAATTTTCATTATCATTCATTGAATTAAATCTAGTATTACTTAATAAATTTGATTTTTTTAAATATTTCCAAATTTTTTCAATA